TCTCTTATCTTTTTTGAAGTGAATGCACAATAAAATACTTTAAATCAGCACCACGGTGGCTAAAGGAAGCCACTATCTATTTTTGGTCGCATGGCTTTGTTCAGTGACCTGCACGACCTTCCAAGCACATAACTGTCAAGTGTGTGTGACTGGGAAAAACCATAACGATACCTGACAACGCCCAAAGTAAAAGTTTAGGTGCAGGTGGCTTGTGAAACGGCTTGCACATTTGTAGCAACGGTGGTTCGGCTAAAGCAGGTTAATAGTATAGCCAACTGTATATGAGATTTGCCAGTTCAATGAGTAAAATCAGCTGACTTTGTGGCCTGCCTGAATTAATGGTAGCTTAAAGTTATTACTGGATTTCTTTGATATCAATATGCCTGTTTGTTAAGGTAAAACTAAAATACTCACCAAATCCTTGTTTGCTTTCTTTTTTGAGTTGGGAGTACAATAACGTTAACTCAAAGCACAGCGTTATTTGCTGAATGGTAGTGATGGCCCGTTTGTATGGGGTTACAACGATGCAACCATAAAACTAAACTGAAAAAAATATTGAAACTGAAAAATAAAGTCCCACCGATCGTCGCACAAGCTGCTCCATCTGGCCATCAGGCAGCTGGTCTTTCTCTCTCATGCCTGGCTTCTACGTGCTCCTTCCTGGAGTCTGGGCCTCTCCCCATATGGGTGCTGAGCCAAATTTTCAGCAGGTAATAGCAGTCACCTCAATAGGTGACTGCTATTACTCATTGTCTAACCAGTCCACGTAGAAAACATCTTGGGTGGGTTTTGCTTGTCATGCCAGTAATGTTGGAAACTTTATTCCACCTTTCACTACCCTAAGCTCTCTAGCAAAGTCCAAGCAGTCGGTTTTGTGCCATCTAGGATTGTCCAGTGTCATGACAGACAGCCAATTGGATCCTCTGCCTCAGTGCTGGTGTAATTGGGGTCTTCCACTTGACTTTTTTGTTCCATAACCCCCGGGATCATTTAAAAAATTCCAAATGACTGTCTTATGGCATCCCTGTATAAGGGCATGATCCATGGGGACGCTGCAGGGACATGCTGGAGCTGCATCAGCAATTGTGCCTCACCTGCTTAAGAAGAATTAACTGGGTTCTGAATTGTTGTTGTTGTTGTTATGTCCAGGACGCCGCCGAAAATCTGCGTCCATTGGTGTCTGTGAAGATGACAACTGGGAATACAGGAAAATGCTGAAAAGTGTTGAAACGTGGTCGGGTCCATCATGCATAGTTGAAAGGGGTGCCGAAACTCAGGATTGGGGCATGGCGGAAACACGAGTGAGCCAGCCAGAGGAGGCGCTGGCCCAAATGGTAGCCAAGCTTGCAACCATTTGCTACCATAGTTTAAGCATTGCTTTCAATAAATTGCATTCTCAAAAAAGTGTTTTGCCCCTCTCCCATTTCTTTTTGTTGCATGTTGAAGCTCTACTTGGAACCTTGTTAAGATACAACCATGCAAAATAGGATTTATTTATTTATTCATTTTTACCATTTTTCAAGTAGTCTTACACTTTTGATCTGGACTGTATCAAAGTACTTCAGCTTCCTACCATCGCCGCACCATGTTTTCTGCAGATATTTATACATGCAAAGGTTGGACATAGCCACCATGACATAATCCATTCATTATTATAAATCTGATTGTGAAGTGTTGTAGAAAATCTCCAAACCTTCTGTTTGGATGGGAGCATCCAGTATGAGTGTAGAATATATTCAATAACCTTTTAGCAACAAACATCTATACATAGTTTCTTGATAATGAACAAGTTACAGGAGTTTATTGTGAATGGCATGAATTCATGATTGATACTAAATGGCACTGTACCCATTCATCAAGTCTTCAACGTCTATTCAGGTAATGGAGTGAAAAGTGACAAACTGAAAGAAGCATTGCATTTTGTATTCATTTTATTTTGGAGACAAAATGTAGACATACTACATAGCAGAAATATTCACCAGCAATTTTTTTCAAGTCCAAGTCAAGTCTCAAGAGTCTAATGGAGGAAACTGATATTCTATTGTTAGATAAAAACCGACTAGTCTCTCTAACACTTAGTAAAATGTTATGCATTATCTTATATGGCCTTTGCTGTATTGATGTACAACAGCATTTAAAATGATAAGTGCATACTCACTCAGGGTTGTTGCAATAAACAGAATTTTGGGTCCAATCCTACCTGCCTCACACAGCAATTCATGACAAGGTCTCAAGACTCGAATCCCAAAACTTTGGTTTGGTTTTTGTTTTGGTCAGGTATAACTTGCGATTGCAAGTCGCCATCTCTGCTACATAGTGCTTAATAATTGTCATAGATTAACACAGAGGTTCCCAAAGTGTGGGGCCCAGATGTTAGCTCTTTATACAGTAAAGTTACAGTGGGATACAAATAATATCAGTCTGAACCACAATTTGTTCCCACGGTTCAAATTACGGACAAACAGTATCCCACAGCTGTTTATGTTCTTGAACCCATTTTGCACAGAGAGGCATTTTTTGAAAAATGTATTGATAGCAATGCTGAATATTATTACACAGGGGAAAAAAACCAACTACACATGAAATAATTACACCATGACGCCTCTGCCTTTCTAAATAGATGAACAGTAACTCCATTTAGAAAGGGTGTGTATATGTAAGCGTATAAAAACTCAACATAGTAAGATTAACAGTAACAGTATTTTGTCTATATCTGCCAATAAAAGTTTGGGAACCACTGGATTAACAGATGATTCTATTAACAGATGTTTATCTCCTGAGGTCTGAGTCTTCATTACTAACAATCCCAAACCATGCATGTCAGTTTCAGTAATTGTGTTTTTTGCTGTTTGGTTTTGCTGGTCACAGATTTTTTTTTTTAGAACTAAATTTATATATTCTTAAGGAGTTATGGTTATCACTGACGATGACTTGAAAATGATGAGGAGAAAAATGAAAAAGTAAAGGAAATTACCATCCTTTAAAAAAAACTATTTTCTTCTTCATGTGTAATTTAACAATCATTTTGTATTCTTCTTCTCCTGGGTGGCCTCCTGTTTTTAACCGTTTGTTTTTAAGGATTTCAAAGTAATGGCTCCAGTTTCCCTCGCTGTCTGCTCCAAACCCAAAGACATTAACCTAAAGAAACAAAGTTTTTACAGTCATTAAGTCTTTAGTATTGAACTTAAATAAATGTTGCCACAAATTGCACTCTTAGCCCTTTCATGCAT